AATTATGTAGTAAAAGAGAAATTTCACCAATATGAACTAAATCATTTGCAATAGTAGGATAATTTGTAATATTTGAATTTGACCGTTGGCAACGGTCTAAAAAAAAACGGGTTGAACCGGGCTGTAACCCGTTAAAAATCCGTTAACGAGCTTAGCGGGTTCCGGTGTACCGGTATCAAAAAACTGTTCGTTTGAAATCCGCTACCCGCCCAACCCGTCCCAACCCGTCCCCCACGCTACAGTACCGAGCTTAACCGGATTGTAAACGGATCAGCCCGGCCCGATTAACATGTATAACTAGGAGCCCATTTGTTGTTTGAAATAATGGACGGATGAATAAGGATTTATGGATTAGGAAGATTAGTTTATCTAACCCCCAATCCAATGTGGATTTTGATATCGTCTTCCTGTAAATTCTTGAGTTTAGATATTTGTAAATGGAGGTCAATATTTATGTCTATCTTTCCCATTTTATCAACTATACACATTTACAAAAGTAGGAAAATATCACGTTATTTTTGTAAATTTGACTATGTAATTTTAATCTAAGTTAAGCTATAATATAGTCTCCGGAATAACTAGTTACATTATCCTCTTAGCAATCATGCTGCTTTATTTTTTTTGTACATCTTTATAATCAAGCTGTATATAAATTATAATTTTTTTGATCGAATTTGTATGTACTTCATAAAAAAATTTAGTTAATTTCTATAAATAGGAAAACCTAGCTAAAACCGAGTAAATAAGTGTAACTAGTATCCGGTGTATAGGTAACGTTTGACAAAATTGTTTCTTTTATGTTATTTTCTTCTTCTTCTTCTTGGGTAAATCTTCCTTTTCTTCTTTTTTTTTTTGTAGTAAATCTTCTTCTTCTTTTTCTTAGTTGTTGTACAATACTAATATTTTTAAAATTATAAAAATTGAAGTATAATACTTTGAAGAAGTGAGTCTTGACTTCGAATTATGAAAAGTGAGTTCAAATCAAGTGGTGTCGTTGAAAAAACTTGAAAATATTGATAAATCACTATTGTTGCAAAATTAGCTTGTTAGATTTGTTGTTGTTTTTATGAATTGATGATTGACATTTATTCTTTATTATATTTAGAACGTATGTTTCAAAATTGAGTCCATTTGGAATAGATTTGAACGTTGAATAGTGTGTTAAATTGTTGAAATTCTTCGGGCGAAATTATCAACGTAGACCAGCTAATCAGGTGGTGGTGCGTATATAACACCATAATATTTTCCTATAACCCATTTACATATACTATACGCGTATATAACGTCATCTGGTCATGAGTCAATATACATGTATAAATGAATGCAATGTATAATGAAATAAGTCAATAAGATCTTTCGAAATGTCATGAGATCAATATGCCTTCGGTTAATATCATGAAATAAACTTTATCAACTAACGTATTTTCTGAGACCTATGAACAAACGATAGAATAATAGGACTCGTGGAGAATCAAAAACATATACACCCCTAGTACTTCTAAGAATAAAATCATTTGTGAAAGTTGCGTGCTTGCTCGTTTTATTACATCATATGGATCATGCCAAAAGGAAAAAAGGGATAGCCTTAACATACCTTAACTACATTGAGTCCTTAATACCTTCCAATAAATTCTTCAAACAACTCAACTCAATCTACCATATCATAAAGAGATTCAAAATCAGTGTTGAGTAAAGGCTAAGTCCACAACTTAAACTAGTAGCTCGCTTACGTAAATTTGGGCAGCATCTCCCCGTAACAAGAGTCTCCTCCAATACAATATACCAACAAAAATGACCAGAGCAATTTAACAATACATAATTATCAATAACAAGACACCATATAACAACAACAAGTCACAACTACTTCATGACGAGCGGCAAGCTTCGATTGAAACTTGTATACCCCATATCACCCCTTATAGACTCCTTAATTTAACTTAACAGTATCATTAACATGATAATGAAGTCATTCATCAATAATTCTAGCCTTATATCATATATTTATAACCAAGAAAATAATCCATAACTCCAACTATCCTCAATTAGCAACTTTATTTACTAGTTCATATCTAGCCAATCCATTTAACTTAATCAACATCAAGATAACCTTAAGCACATACAAGAACACAATATAATTACCTCCTACAGTGGATTCAAGTCGAAATCCATGTTATATTTAGCTTACAACAGCCCAACACACCCCAATCACTTCATACCCAAAACGACAACTATAGTAGTGTCAAACACCCCGAAAATATTATAAATACCGACTAATCTACCATTTCGACATTATGTGGTGTTTTTCCATACTATTTCTCCTCAAAAACTCCATTAAACAGTAGCAAAATAGACAATCCAAAAACAACACGAAACAGCCCACAAAACAGTCCACTACAAATCGAATAACTCGAACTCACGATTTTCGATCACCGTCCCGTGAGTTCTAACTATTAGAAAAATTTATCAACCTTCCTTGATATTTAAAATCTTAAATACATAAAGTAGGCATTTTCTTAACTATTAAATACCTTCCAAAACTCAAACTACAAAGAAAAAGAGAGGCGATATAGCGATACTTACGTCGTAGGGATCATTCTAGTGTTATCGCTTCTTGATTACGTACCCGGGATGTTAATCTTCTTTGAAACCCTTGTAGAGAGCTTAAGGATAAGTTTATGGGTCTTATTTGGTCGTGGTTTCTGAAAAAATAAAGAAAGAGACGACATAAGGGATATAAATATCCAATTTGTTGAAAAGTCAAAACGGTGCTACTTGGCACCCTAGCATTGGCCCTTCTTCCAACACTTATATCTTTTTATCCGTATGTCGTATGAACGAAGGTTAAACACTCTAGAAACTACATTCCAATACCTTCAATTTGTTATATAATATGTCCCAAAAAGACCTCATATAACACACGAAAGGTATTGCAAAAAACTTTAGTGACCCACCTACTTGTCACTTATGCAGTCTGCGCAGTCTCGCAAAACTGTAAATATCTCTCTACTCTGATATCGTATCGATGAAAGGTTTAATACGTTAGAAACTAGACTCGTAGATATTCAATTTGATATATGGATCATCCTGTAATTCTAAGTATATTAGGAGAAAAGCTCTGCTGCATTTGACCTAATATTCAACACATTATGAATGTAACTTGTGACGACCTTTGCCAATTTTTGTTCCAAAACTCCGCTTGACTTCAAAATGTAACACACAACTATCATACGACTAAAATAACTCAAAACATAACCTCCTTATCATGTTAAGAACTNATATATATATATATAATTTTTTGGATATTATTTTGAGAGCGGCTATACAATGTCATTTTACTTATCTCTCTTCTCTTATAGCCTATACTCTGTTCGAGCTAGTTAACCAATATATTGTCTTTTATAAACTTATGCCTGGGTGAAAAGAGGTAACCAAATTATTATCATATACTATACAATTTAAAAAGGTTATTTTCCCTTATGGCTCAAGGACTCATTTGTTGACATTTAATGGAGGTATGAATCTTAATTATTCAGATCTTAATCATTAAGTGAGTTTGTTTTTTAGATCTGAATCTTAATATTTCATATTTTAACCATTAAGACTGTTTGTTTTTTTAATTTTACGACTACTTAATAGGTCTGAATAGATCTTAATGATTAAGATCTATAACAGAGTCTTAATATCATTAAGATGTTGTGCATTCAAGAATTTTGTAAAAATGATATTTCACTATTGCTCCTATACTTTCACCACTAATCACCATCACCATTCTATCATTGTCCCCTACCATTATAGACTATCACCACTCAATACCCAATACCCAATACCCACCACCCATTACCACCATCCTCAGCAATAACCACCACCATTGCCAAGCATGAATGTTAGTTGCCACTTCTACTGGCCATCGTTTATAACCATCACCACCAACCACCATTACCACAACAATCACCAATCACCGCTGTAAACTACCACTATATATTCATCATTATTATCAATCACCACTACCATCAAATACCATTGTTAGATAATATTGTCATTCACCATCTACTGCCCATAATCACCACTATCAACCAACACCACCACTAGCTACTATCCTATCGACACTCACAACCGCCACTGTTAGCCATCACCACAACCAACCATCATATTTTTTTTTAAAAATATTTATTAATATAATATTAAATTATTAGTACTATTTAATTTGAATTTATACTTATTAAATTTTAAATAAAGATAAACTCTACACACTCAGATATAGAGAAAACAAGCAGTCTTAATTATTCACTATTAAGATCTTAATATAACATCTTAATATTTAGATGTGTATTCATATTCAGATATTTTAATCTTAGTATACATACTAATATTCAAATGTGTATTTAGATTCAGACGTTTTAATCTTAATAATAACAAATGATGCCTAAATCCCCCTTTTTAAAACTTAACTTTGATGGAAATTACAAGAATGGTAACCGGGAAGGATGTAATGTTTGATTGAACACGAAATTTTATTGTTTCATTTTATGAGTTGATGTTTGACCGAACACGAAATTTGAGAAATACATAATTTTAAAATATGTGATACATATCAAGTCATAGACATTTGTGATAGTTATAAATCAAACCTGTTAAGAATAAATAAAAAATTATAAAGTTAAATTATTTTAAATATATAAAAGAATATCAAAAAATATTTGTGAATTTAAATTCTCAAAAATTATAACGTCCCAAGATGAAAAAGTTGAAAATTTTATTTTGTGCCTCACACAACTGACACTAGTTATATGAGATTTCTTTTTTGTCTCACAGTTTTGTGGTCACAGAATTTTATGAACCCAGATGTATAAAATATGAGTTCACAAATATTTAAGATAAAAAAAAGATTCACACCACTATTGTCAATTGTGTGAGTCACACCGTAAAATCGCTCAAAAAGTTACTCCATAATCCATCATCTTCACTAAATTATTAAAGTCCCAAAAATATACTCGTAAGAAAGTACTAGGAATACTAAACTACTCATCTGTAGCGGCTCTGCTCCCAAGTCTGCATCTCTTTCCCTTAATCGGACGGATCTCAAAAGTATCCCCACACCGATTCCTCCCTCCTCCTCCTTCTTGATTCATCCAAATCCCTTCAAATCTATACGTACAGTATTCCTGTATCTATTATCTATCCATTTCCCCCCCACAACTAAATCTCTCCCTCTAGTTGAGTTGTCACTGTCTCATGGCTTCTTCTCCTGGCAATCCAAACCAGCCAGGTGGTTCAGGACCATTCGATATGCACAAATTCTTCAAACCAAACCCTAATTCACCAAACCCTAATCCCAATCAAAACCCTAATTTAATTTCCTCCCCTTTCCCACCTCCTAACGCTTCTTACCCTCCACCCACCGTCGCCGGCGCCGGTGCCGGAGGTGTGTACCCGTATCCACCTCAAACGACAGCAGCCCCATTTCACCATCACCACCCTCAATTCAATCACCCCCACCTAACCCCCCAATACACCACCCCACTACCTCAACATGATGCCACCCAGTTTGCTCATCAGCAAAGATCCATGTCTTTCCCCACCCCCCCTCTTCAACCACCCCCACCCCAACCTACTAGTCCTCACCAATTCCCTAATCCTAATCCTAACCCTGGTGCTAGGCTTATGGCTTTATTGAGTGCTCCCCCTTCTACTCTTGAAATCCCTCCTATACAACCTACCACTTCTGGGTCAGAGCTCTCTGAATTTTCCTCTGGCCCAAATGTCCCGGGCGCGGGACCTATGAGAATGGCGAGCAGCAAGTTGCCTAAAGGCCGGCATTTGAATGGTGATCACATTATGTATGATATTGATGTTAAGTTGCCCAGCGAGGTGCAGCCTCAGCTCGAGGTTACTCCTATTACAAAGTATGGGTCGGATCCGGGTCTTGTATTGGGTCGGCAAATTGCAGTTAACAAAACTTACATATGTTATGGATTGAAATTGGGGGCTATTCGGGTTCTTAACATTAATACTGCCTTGAGATCGTTGCTTAAAGGCCTTGCGCAGGTTGGATTTCTTAGCTTAAATACACAGTGCAAAGACATTTTTACATTAACCTGTTGTAGTAGATAAATTATCATATATACTAAATTACCAATTAATCCTTACCAAGAGATTTACCTGTAATTACTTAATAAATGCGGGATAATCATTTTAATCTGTTGTATGAACCTTATAGGAAGAATGTTACAGCTTATGCTAGTTGCCGGGCGCAATATCTTAAGATTGGTGTTTTATCTGACATGCATTTCAATTATGGAAAAACAATAATTTTGTCGAAGGACATTGGTCTTATGCAGAAGTTTTGATAATCACAATTTCATTCATAGTCAATGTGCCAGTTGCGTGTGAGATAGGAATATGCTTTATTTCGTCAGTTCGTAGGATTTGACAATAAGCTTAATACTAACACGTGGCATTTAGATTGAACTTTGTCAAGAAAAAGAAAAAGAAGCAGAAACAGAAAAAGGATTCAACTTTATCGCCACTCTCTGATATCAGGTATAAAGTTGTAGTCCGCACGTGTTTGGGGTTCTATGGCTTTCAACTGGAAGACTTCCATTGTACTTTCAAGTTAAGAATTTAAGACCATCCTATCATACTTGGAGCTGCTAAAAATAGTTGTCCTTGACTTCTGGTTAGATAAACAATAGTTATTCATGACTTCGGCATTTGTTTATTACGTGGTATATATCTTGAAGTGAGTGTTATTTTATCGATTGATAATGTATAAATCCGTTGGTACTAGATCTTGTTTGGTTCAAATAGATCTAATTGATCTTGTGAGAATTATAGAAATATGATCTTTATAATCTGCTTTCTCCTTCCCTTAAAAAGACTATATTTTATTCATCTGGGGACCTTGTTTGTTCTTTCAGAGGGTCACAGACATGGCTTTCTTTGCAGAGGATGTTCATCTCTTGGCTAGGTAGGGGCTCCGTACTTTTGTACTTTATACTTATGCAGTATGTAGTTTACGTTTCTAATTTGGTTTTGTCTCAGTGCGAGTATTGATGGCCGGGTTTATGTATGGAAAATTACCGAAGGACCAGATGAAGAAGATAAGCCACAAATTACAGGAAAGATTGTCATTGCTGTTCAAATTGTGGGTGAAGGGGAATCTGTGCACCCACGTGTTTGTTGGCATTGTCATAAACAAGTATCTACCTCTCTCTCTATTTGGGTATTGTTTTCTTCTGTTGATGTTGTGCTTAACTTTTCTTATGTTCTCTTCAATAGGAAATTCTCGTGGTTGGAATCGGGAGACACATTTTGAAAATTGATACCACTAAAGTGGGAAAAGGTTCAGTTTTTTCAGCTGAGGAACCTCTCAGGTGTCCTGTTGACAAGTTGGTTGATGGGGTACAACTTGTTGGTACCCACGATAGAGAAGTGACTGATTTATCAATGTGCCAGTGGATGACCACGCGTTTGGTATCTGCTTCAGTGGATGGCACGGTTCGTGAGGGTTTTGCTCTTTGTTGTCTTTTAATCTATTTGATGCAATGTATGTGTATGTGTGTATATATGTTTATATTTTACTTCAAAAAAAAAAACTGCTTGATGTAATGTTTCTTGGCATAACCTCTATGTAACTGTTCATATAAGTCCACATGTTTTCGCTGTGAAAATGATAACTCAACCAAAAACTCGGACGCCAACGTGTTATTCACTAAATTTTTAGAGTCAAGTTGCTTGTGTTTGATGACTGATCATAAAAAGACAAAAGTTTGCTTGTATTTGATGAGATGGTACTCAGGGATATTTTAAAAAACTACTTACTCCTAATTGACGTTTAGAAGTTTCTAAGAATAGCATGTAAAATCCTTTGGTTTCTGAGGTGTTGTTCTTTTCAAGGATACTTGCATGTATTAGTTCCTTGGGTTATATGCATTTTTTATCTTTTATGTTTTGGACCCATTTAAAACTCTGAAAATGAAACAAACAGGATAAAGTATGATCTTGATTGCAAAAGGTTGATTTGTTGTATTGCTATTTGGCAAAATTTGGATGCTCTCTATTGACTGGTGCATGTGGATTTTATCGTGATTCCAGATAAAGATATGGGAAGACCGGAAGTCACTTCCTATAGCAGTTCTCAGGCCTCATGATGGTCACCCTGTTAATTCTGTTACCTTCTTGGCTGCTCCACACCGTCCAGATCACATCGTACTCATCACTGGGGTATGTGCTAATGCATTTTGTGTTGGTCACCTTTTGTCAGAACATCAACCGTTTTTTCTGACTAGTAGTTTTGTTTCTTAGAAAATAACATATTCTCAGATGCCATTTACTTGCCGTCCATGCTAATTTGCTCAAAACTGTTTCTCAAATGCCATTTATTGCCCTAAACAAAATCATATTCTTGGAGACCAGTTATTCTTTGTTCAGAATTTCAATCGCAACTCTATTTTTTCTTCCCCATGAGTTTGCCTCGTGGTGGTTCTTGAGTTTGAGTTGACCATTTAAAGGTGTTCAGGGTCCTCTTAATCGGGAGGTAAAGATATGGGCATCAGCAAGTGAAGAGGGCTGGTTGCTTCCTAGTGATGCTGAGTCATGGCGCTGTACACAGACATTGGAGCTGAAGAGTTCAGCTGAAGCTCAAGCTGGAGAGGCATTTTTTAACCAAGTTGTAGCCTTATCTCAAGCAGGTTTGCTTCTACTAGCAAACGCAAAAAAGAATGCTATATATGCTGTGCATCTGGAGTATGGCCCAAACCCGGTGGCAACCCGGATGGATTACATAGCAGGATTTACAGTTACCATGCCAATTTTGAGTTTCACTGGGACGAGTGATCTATTGCCCAATGGTGAACAGATTGTTCAGGTGTATTGTGTACAGACGCAGGCCATTCAGCAGTATGCTTTGGACTTATCCCAATGCTTGCCACCTCCAACAGAGAATGTGGTTTTCGAAAGGACGGAATCCGGTGTTTCGCGTGATGCTGCTAGCATTGAAGGATCTGCTCCTGTTGACCCCCCTAGAAGTAAACAGCAGGAGCTTCCTTTATCTAGTTCTGCACTTAAATCATCTGTACATGAAGGTGGCTCTGAGATATCACCAACAGCTCGACATCCTACAAGTACTGCACCTACTGAATCGGCCACCTCTCAAGAATTAGCTTCCTCCATTATAGAAACTAAATCGTCTACTTTTCCCACTGTAACTAGTGATTGTGATATTGCCCCCATTGCATCACCTCCGCCTCCTTTGAGTCCTACATTGTCTCGAAAACTATCTGGTTTTAGAGGTCCATCAAACAGCTTTGAGCGTGGCACCTCTGATAATGAGCAAGTTGGGGATCCAAAAGTTGTTGAATATTCAGTTGATCGGCAAAAGGAGGGCACAACTCCAAATGTGTCTGATGTTACTTCCTTGGATGATGAACCTAAAAATGATGAATCTAAACTGTCACAGAATGATGTTCCCTCGGGTATCAGTCCCCCTGTTAAGTTCAAGCACCCAACTCATTTGGTGACTCCTTCAGAAATATTGATGGCTAGATCATCCTCTGAGGTTAACATTGTTAACGAGCAGAAAAGTGAGTCAGAATTGACTATACAGGATGTTGTAATTAACAATGACGCCCGTAATGTAGAGGTGGATGTTAAAGTTGTTGGTGAAGCAAGATTCAGTCAGAAAACTGATGTTGGCTCTCAAGAAGAACTTCATTCTTTTGTGTCAGAAAATAAGGAGAAAGCCTTTTGCTCTCAAGCATCTGATCTTGGAATAGAAATGGCTCGAGAATGTCGCGCTTTATCTCCTGAAACCTATACTGTGGAGGAATCTAGGCAGTTTGATGGGGCTGGCAGAAGTGAGGGACCGTTGCAACCTTCAAGTACACTAGAGGAAGATCGTGACTCTGCAAAGGAGACCTCTGAAAAGGATCTGGACTCAACAATGTCAGTCACTGTTCATCAAGCACCAGCTCCCACTGCAAAAGGGAAAAAGCAAAAGGGGAGGAATACTCAAGTATCTGGGCCGTCATCATCATCGCCTAGTGTTTTCAATTCAACAGATTCTTTGAATGAGGNTATATATATATTTTTTGTGTTTTGTTACTTAGTCATGCATTAGCTTTTAGGTTGTTTCAAGTTACTAAGAAGTTGATTTCATCATTTTTATCATTCATGAATGGTGTGGTTCCTTGCTTGATATGCCACCTGTAGCTGCCTTTCTACTCTCTGTTAGGGTTGTTTTCCCATCTACTAATTAACAGTTTTTTTGCAATGGTCCTTGCCCTGGCTGATCATCCTCCTGAAATTTGTTGAACAATTGTTTCAAGTTTCAAACTTTTGGTGTTTTTTTTTTTGTGTGTTCACCTTCTGGAACTACTTTATCAGAATATTCATTATCAAATCTTCAACAGCTTAAATGGTTAAAGCTGAACTTTTTGTATATTCTTCTCCGTATGAGAAAAACATTCATGCTATTCAAAAAACTAGTATCTATAAACGTGCGTTGCACGTCAATAATGACACATGATGGTTTAAATATTTATTTATATGAAGAAACAATAAAATTTAATTAAATAAATGATCAATTTTAGTCATGTTAAGTAGATAATTAAGTATTGTAGTTTAAAGGTATCTAATGTGATGGTATCTTACTGAACACTTCTTTATAGACAGTGTTTTTTTGTATATGTTTCCTTCTAATGCTTTGGTTACTGTTGTGGTAAATATAGTTCAATATTTAGGATATTTGTCCTTGTGCTTTATTTATTATAACTGCAAAATATAAACATACTGAAAATTATTTTCACACAAATTTAAAAGGATATTCTTTAGTTTCGGAAGACGAAAGTTGAATTCGGGGATAAACACATACTTAGAAGCATATTGACCAGTATCATAAGTTCTGCATGTATGACGTTATTGTCAAAACTTCTATATACCATATGTGTACTATTACATAAGCTATTCGGCGGATCTAAGTTTTCAGTAGCATGACGGGCATAAACCTATATGCAATGGAAGATCAATTTTAACTTAGTCTATTATATATATGGTGATACTAACATACGAAAGAAATAATAAACTTGACAACAAACATGTACGGTAGAAGGCCAATTGGTATTAAAGTATTTAAGTATTCTTCTTGGTAGTTATTGTTGGTATCATCTTCTGTTGAGTCAAAACTGAATAATATTTTGTTTTTACCATAAAACTTAGCAATCAACCTTTTATTTAGCTGATCAACATATTCATTTCTGCTAGCTAAGATAGCTCTTTAATTTCTATCATGTAATTTGCACAAATTGTCTTTTAATCTAGTGATGAAAATATTTCCCTTATTAAATGTACTACTATTACCATTGGGGTTGATAACCAAGTGTTCTAGAAGAACCAAATCATCTTTTATTGGATGTTCTTCTTCATTTCCGACACGAAGCAAGAAGTCACTAAGTGTTGGATCTTTTCTTACTTTTACATTTCTTGTCATTTAAATATTTTTCATTTGAGGTCATAAGTATAATTTTGGTAAGCTAGCTTTTACAGTTTTTGCTTTGGTCATTTTTGGAACTACCGATCGTACTTGACAGAAATCACTTTCCAAACTATTACTTTTCTACTAAACGGTTCATCGATATCCAATATATCTCTAAAACTCTGGGCGATTGTTTCGATCGTCTGACGCTTAGCCAAAAGCACTTCATCCCATATTATCACTTTTTCTTTCCTTATAAATTTAGTACTATTGATCTGATGTGATATATTTGTGATGGTTATTTCAGTTATTTGAAGAGGTATATCAAATCTAAAGTGAGTTGCACGACCTCATAATAAAATCGTTGTTGGTACACCACTTGTTCTTATTGCTAACAATATCATGCCTCTTGATATGACATTTGCAAGTAATGCATGACATAGGAATATTATTTCGATTCCGCCGGAGGCATCTACAAAGGATAATCCCGCTATACCAGGATCGATTTTTTATAATATAGTCTTGAAAGCTTATTCTTTTCAGGATTTAGTTTTGTTTGTGCTTCCTCAAAGACTTGTATGTCCTTCTTAATATTATATATTTTTTTCAATTTGAAAAATAATTTTACTCGTATGATGAATTTAAAAAATAATTTAATTGGATTCCCTTGCTAAATAATTAATTGAAAGATTTAATTATTTGGTTTTAACATAAAATATAATTTATTTTCTGTTGATTTAGATTCTTAATATTAGTTCATCTCATGTTTGAATATTTAACCGTGATTATAATTTTATCCACCATAAATTTTATTTTCAAAGAGTAAAAAGATCGATGACATTCCACTTTTAGATCTTTATATTTTCAAAATCATTAGTGGTATTGGCTCTTACCAACATTTTTCTTTCTTTTCTCTCACATTTATGTTCTTAAATATTTTCTTAGTTGTTCTTTAATAACTTGGTATATTTTTCTATATTACACGAAAAATTAATAATAAAAAAAATTATTTGAGTAGGAAAGCAGTTCAAATATAATATAATAATATATTATTGTGGGAATTTTTTTCTCAATTTCAACGCTTTATGCAGTCCGTTTAGCATTACTTTTTTTGTTTATATTGAATATTATAAAGTGGTAATGTATTACCAATATGGAGTATTCTTATGAAATTGATTTTATTAAACCTTCCTACATATTTTTAATAAGAATTCAATAGACCAGATTGTATTAATTTTAAAATCTTAAATATTTAAAAAATTAACATAGAAGTTATTGTAGTCCAAAAAATTAAGTTATTACATCTATGTACTTTCCCTATGAGTTCTTCTGTTTAATATTTTAGGGGTATTTTGGTCTATCAATATTATATTCGTACTTTTATAATAATATAGGCTCTCCTGTTTCTAAATGGATTTGGACAATATAACACGTTTTCAAATTAAATTAGTAATAGGAATTTTTTAAGAAGTATATCCCAAAAGTAATAGGATTACAAGGCTAATATCTATGCCCGAAAATAATTATACTAATAGGATTCCTAAAAGTAATCATGTAGATTTCTAACGTGAAGTATTATGTCCTAAAACTAATAGGATTACAAAGCTAATGTCTAGAATTCCGATTATGTCCTTTTATTGTGAGTTATTATGCTTAATATAAAAATGTTATTTTTGTAATCCAATATTTTATTCATGCTTTTATAATAATATAGATTATGTCATGCATTGAAGCTATTCGAGGATGCTGACAATTTCATCCTTACTGCAGTTACACGTTATCAAAAAAATATTGAGTTAATTACGTTACTAATCCAACAAAAAACCTCATTTTAATTATGTTCTGTCAAGATCTTATTCTTATGTGTTCTCTTTTTTCTCTGTTTGCTATTTCATGTAGCTTCTGACTATGCAAAAAGATACACAAAAGCAGATGGAAATGATGGTTGCTGTCCCAGTGACCAAAGAAGGAAGAAGACTTGAGGCTGCTCTGGGACGGAGCATGGAGAAATCTGTCAAGGCCAATTCTGATGCTTTATGGGCTCGTTTACAAGAAGAGTGTGCAAAACAGGAGAAGTCTCTTCGTGATCGTACACAACAAATGGCCAATTTGATCTCTAACTGCTTAAACAAGGACATGCCAGGGCTGATTGAAAAATTAATGAAGAAAGAACTAGCAGCTGTTGGACAAGCTGTGGCACGCAGTATTACCCCTACTATTGAGAAAACTGTATCAGTTGCAATTTCAGAAGCATTCCAGGTTAATAATATGAAAATCTGAACCTTTGCTTGTATGGATTTGTTTGTGGTGTGACCGAATGTTATGGTGCAGAGAGGAGTTGGTGACAAGGCAGTGAACCAACTGGAGAAAGCAGTAAACTCCAAACTTGAAGCTACTGTAGCTAGACAAATCCAAGCTCAATTCCAGACCTCTGGCAAGCAAGCTCTGCAGGTAAGCATGGGTAGCTTTTTATTGAGCTAATGCCACTAATGTGGGTATAAAAACATTTTCCTCGCATTGTCTTGCTCATTTTTTTCCTAATGACTTTATAATGCCGGATTCTAGCTTATCTTTCCATCTAGCATAATGGACCTAAGAGTTTAACTTCCTGATCCTCTCAACTTGCTGCCCTTCCTGCTGCCTCTGTGCCACCCCAGAAATTCAGAGATATTGTACATTTCAAATCAGTGTTGGATGTGTCTTATTTAATGGCATTGGAACTGTCATGCAGGAAACACTGAAATCTACTTTGGAAGCTTCAGTGATCCCTGCCTTCGAGATGTCATGCAAGGCAATGTTTGAGCAAGTAGATTTAACATTCCAGAAAGGCATTGCTGACCACTCGGCTGCTGCGCAACAGCAATTCGAGTCCATGCATTCCCCGTTGGCACTTGCTCTAAGAGTATGTATATTTTCTAATTTTATTTATCCTTGTGTTTTCTTGCTAATCTTTGTTAGACTGCCATTTCTCTGCTTCTAGTTTATCTATACTACATCAAGTATATTATGCCTTCACATGCAAGGTTGGTTGTATCCAAGGGTATAATCCCTCCACTTCTTGTGTTGACTTATTTTTTATCCCTTACTGTGTTTTGAATTCAGCAAAATACTTTTTCTTCGTTTGATCTCTTTCATACCATCTTTCGGTTCAGTTTGGTATAGTGGGTTCAGGGGTGCCCGTGTTTAGTTGTTTAAATCTTGTAATGCTCTACAATGATATTCTTGGCCCAAGGTTTTCATGTTTTTGCTCAATTTTATCTTTGATTAACAACTTATTGAATGACGACTCACTGATTACTAGCTATACACTGATCTCCGGAAATGATTGCCTTTCTTTCCACCATGCAGTCCGAAAGTGGTTAAGGAAAGTTTCAATACAAATTAATATAACATAAAAAAAAAGCCATGCTCTCTTTTTAGTTTTTACCATCCTCATTTGTCAATACAACATCACTATCATATTCTCCAAAAAGGTGAAAACACAGGATTGAATATAATACACCGCATCTTACTCTATCCTCATTTCTCAATACAACTTTTTCTAATATTATATTCTCCAAAAGCACGTCATTAAACTTAATACACCACATGTTCCGCTCCACAAATAAGACAACTCATATTAGTTATTACAGTGTATGTTCCGCAAACAAGATGAATCACTTTTTTCAATCGCCTTAATAGACGTGCAGAGTTAAATTAAAATAGTTAAAATGGAAAGAGGGAAGTGGTTCTATCTTTGTTTATGTTCTTCTTTCCTCGACCTACTTTGTAACCTGGTGGATGTGTTGATATAAAAGATAAAAAATTGATTAAATGATGAAGTCTGGAAACTAGTGAGCTCTTGTCCTCTTTGGAATTAGACACTCATTGGACTCAATTTTCAGGATGCCATAAATTCAGCGTCGTCAATGACTCAGACATTGAGCGGAGAGCTGGCTGATAGTCAGAGAAAGTTGCTTGCTCTCGCAGTTTCTGGAGCAAATCCCCAGTCAGCAAATCCGCTGGTTAGCCACATGAATAATGGATCATTGCTGCATGAGAAGGTTCGTCCTATATTCCTTGGTGGAGCAAAGAATTAACTGCTCATATTTTGCTATTAAGAATTTGTTGATTAAGTTTTCCTGTCTTTTTGTCTTGCTTTACTGTACTCATTCATATTTTTATGTCTGCAATAGATTGAGACACCTCCAGATCCAACCAAAGAGTTATCTAGACTGTTAGCGGAGCACAAGTATGAAGAAGCATTCACTGCAGCGTTACAAAGAAGTGACGTATCAATTGTCTCGTGGTTATGCTCTCAGGTATGCTGTTTACATTGGCATTTACTTACTGATAGGATTATCATGTACTTTAAGGTCAGTTGCTGAGGAATATTTTTTAATGGGAAAAAGGGAGATTAATAGGGTCCAGGAGAAGAGAAACAGTTAGGGAAGGGAGAAGGAAGAGGGGGCATCATAACGTTGACAGTGTTCTTGTACAAAACAAACAACTCGGTTCTGCCATTACTTTTGGAGCATATTATTGGCTTGTTTATTAAAAGTTCTTACCTCGAACCTGGCTGTACATTGACATCCAATAAATTGGGACGATACTGAGAAGAAAGTTCTTATCTCGAACCTATCCAAAGAAAAAGTTTGTAGCTCGAAATGAAGCATTTCAAATTTCTGTNCTTGATCATTTCTTGGTGTCTTGTACCAGGTTGATTTGCCAGGGATTTTGTCCTTGAATCCTCTTCCTCTGAGTCAAGGAGTGCTCCTTTCACTTCTTCAGCAGTTGGCGTGTGATATTAGCAAAGAGACGGTCCAAAAACTATCCTGGATGAGGGATGTGTTAACTGCCATAAATCCAACTGATCCGATGATCGCAGTGCATGTGCGGCCCATCTTTGAACAAGTATATCAAATATTACACCACCGCAGAAGTATTGCTACAACCCCCGCTGCTGAGCTTTCAAACATTCGGCTGATTTTGCATGTAATCAATTCGATGTTGATGAGTAAATGATAAAAAATATGAACATGTGTGGTGAATATACAAGCCTGTACAAATCCTAGGAATATCCATGGAAAGGCAAGTCGTACGGTAGAATTGAAGTCTGCACCAACCTCCTATTATCTCTTTTTGTTTTACCTTTTCTAGGTAAAACTGTAATCAGTTGGGTGAATTTTCCTGTTGTAGAGACTTAGCACAAAAAAAAAACGAATACAATTTTCAAGTTGTAGAGTTAGTATTTTAGGGTGAGTTTTCCGTATATACAGAATTTTGACTTGTACATTGTTATTATACTCCAATTTTAAGCGGGAACTCAGAAGTGTTGTTTTTATTACTCTTCTAATGATCTTATATGTGCGAGGAAAACTCCTTTTTTATTTTTATTTACTTTTGTAGTTGAAGTCTGGTCCTTTATGTTGGACTGTCATTTTGAAGTCTGGTTCCTTTCTATTCTCCCGTGGGAAAAAATTGAACTGGAGTTCCGTTTTATCTTTTGGAATTTGGACTCCCATTAGTACTTTATGCTTGCTTGTACTGTCAAATTTTATCTACATATTATTAGTTTTTATTATGATGTGCTATTCTTAGCTAATGTGATGTGCTATTGCACTTGGTATGTTGTTGTATTCTTAGCTAATATATCCTTCTGTATGAGCTAAGTTAGAAAGCTCTTATGTATGAACCAAAATTTCTAAAGTGATGTGCTATTCTTAAGCAATATACCAATTTTGCACGAGCAAAGTAAGAATGCCCTTCCTTATCTATAAAACAAAGTTTCTTGTTACTTACCAAGTACCATATCTAGACGAGAGCTAGAGGGTTCTTTTTATTTAAGTAAATATGAATAAGTAAATGATATTGTAAAAATAACTCTACAGGAGAACTCAAGCTTGCAATCATGAATTTGAGTTTAAGTTTTGCTTATTTCATTTACAGATAAAAACCTTCGTCCTTTACTTTAATAGTCACCTGAAGAGAGGATGGGATTGGGGAGTATCATCTTCAAACATATGTCAAGACCTTAACCCACAATTTGATTTTCATTACATAGGAGGAGTTTTTTCTCCTGATTTGTAAAGGTTATTAGAGCTTTCGCTGAAATGTGAATTTATTTAGTTTTAGATGATACATCTCGCAAACCCTAAAATCAAATAGAAATTAAGATGAACAAAACCAAATTACCTTGTTGTTCGTTATAAAAAAATTACTAGTAGCATATTTTGTTTAGCTAACTCCACAATCTAATGGAGACATCCTACTTCAACAGTTCAACCCACATTATCCAAAATACTACGTAGTAACAATAAATAGTGAAATAACATACTATATCTTCCCCACTTTCTTTTTAACCCCCCACTCCCGCGCTGCGCCCCCGAAAACTTAAATAGTCCCACACTTCGAAAACCAAAAATTACAATAATTTTCGTACTGCTAATATTGTATACGGCCGAAATAGATTTCGGCCTTCGTACGATTGATCGAGGTCAAAACATAATGGATCAGAGAAAGACTTCGTAATATCGAAATGGGTTCCGAAGGTGGTACAAACAAAGCCTCAGATTTCGGGTATAGATTGAACGCCGAGTTCGAATTCATTATCGAGCTCGGGTCCGAATCGAACTATGATGAAATGATTTCGAGCTTAAGGGGCAGAGGCCAACCGAGATCGAGTTCGAATCATCACTTGATTCCGAGTCCATATTGAGCTCTAAAAGCAATACCGACCGGCATCAAGGCCGATCAAGCTCGAGCTCACAAACAAGAGCCGTTGCAACCGCACTAAGGGAGAGAATCTTGGCAGGAATTGGGGAAAAGATAATTCATCATGGGTTCTCCACTATATATTTTTTATTATAGATAAAGTAGGATCCCTCTACTATAAAGAGGGGGATCCTTGTAAGCATAAGGGACATTCACATATTATAACAAAGACAACTTTAGAGAGATTAATATCTTTGAGCTCATTTACTTTACTTTGTTCATCAATACTTCTTTTTCTCTGCCTTATATTTCATTCCATTTGTCAAAAATATATATTTCTATTTCACTCTATAATTTGTACAAAATTATATCACGTATCCTTAGAACCATACACAAATTTAACTCTATCCGATTTTTCGAGTAAACAGTTTGGCGCCCACCGTGGGGCTAAGGATAACAGTGGTTATTTGATACGAATCCGCAAAAATACACCATTTTGCGCTTGTTTCCGAAAGTATTTTTGATTTCGGATTAGCAACAATTAACTATCAATCAAATGGCCTTACCTAGCGACAACGAAGCTGGTCTTCAAAATCAGAACAACAACTTGACACCCAGTACCGAAAGACCACTTGTCAACGCCGCTGGAGCTCGAATCGAAGTACCGATGGATATCAATTCGCATGTGGCCATTGAGACGAACCTACATTCTGAACCTGAAAATAGCAATCATGGCGGCGTCGATCTACACCTCGAGACACCCATAATATTGAGGAAAGCGGAATTAGCTTGCGTATGATTTTTGAAATGTTGCAAGCTCAACAGGTAGCGATAGCTTAGTTGCAGAGTCAAACACAGGTACCGAGCAGATCGGAACCCACTCCACCCCGAGAGATCACCCGCAGAACAGAACCAGTTGTAGCAAGGTCAAACGAGCAAGAATCGGGGACTAATCCCAGAGTTATTAAGATGTTCGAAGAACTGACAAAACGGATCGAAGAAAACAACAAAAAGGTGGAAACGTACAACTCCAGGGTTGATCAAATCCTGGGGGCACCCCCCAATATTGAAAGGCCTAGATTCCAAAAAATTCGTACAGAAGCCTTCCCCCCGAGCGCGACCCCTAAACCAATCCCAAAGAAGTTTCACATGCCCGAAATTCCTAAATATAATGGGACGACCGACCCCAATGAACATGTCACCTCTTACACATGTGCCATTAAAGGAAACAATCTAGAAAATGGTGAGATCGAATTTGTATTATTGAAAAAATTCGGTGAAACCCTGTCAAAGGGGGCAATGATATGGTATAATAATTTACCATCTAACTCTATTGATTCTTTTGCTATGCTTGCAGATTGCTTTGTAAAAGCACATGCCGGGGCCATAAAGGTCGAGACCAGAAAGTCGGACCTGTTCAAGGTAATACAAAAGGATAACGAGATGTTAAAGGAGTTCGTATCTTATTTTCAAATGGAACGAATGGATCTTCCACCAGTCAGAGACGATTGGGTTGTTCAAGCTTTCACTCAAGGTCTAAACGAACGAAGCTCGATGGCTTCACGGCGGCTGAAGCATAATCTGATCGAGTACCCAGCTATTACTTGGACCGATGTGCACAATCGATATCAATCCAAAATAAGAGTCGAAGACGACCAGTTGGTTTCTAGGTCCGTTACTAAAAGAACTACCAATCAAAGTTCGACCATAGACCGATCCCGTCCATATAGCGAAAATCCTACAAGCTCAGTCTGATAAAATGGCAATCAACTACCAAGCAATTGGAACGTGTAATGCCTAAAATGATACTACTGCTAAGTATCCGAGGCCTCCTTAAAATCAACCTCGAATACTAGGGGGCATTGTCATTGAACATATCTGCGATGATTATCAAGTTCGGTGCAAATGAAGTTACTTCGTTATTTCATGGCTATATTGTTTCAACAGGAAAAATTGTAAGGGCCAAATGATCAAACGAGCCATGCCCATGTAGTTGGCCCAAGCCCTGACACAAAACATGAACACATATATAATAACTTACAAACGAAAATTTCTTCTTTACCGATATCCAAGAAAAAATCCTCTATTTTCGAGATCTATTATACAAAGCCTAAGGGCTACCCCGACTCGAGTTCGAGGAACCATTCTTACTTAGGTACTATCTACTAAGCCTACGGGCTACTCTTATTTCGAGTTCGAGCAAGCACTCACCCGACCATTATGCCTACGGGCTACATTACTTTGAGTTCGAATCATTCACTCGACTACTAAGCCTACGGGCTACTCTTATTTCGAGTTCGAGAAAGCACTCACTCGACCATTACGCCTACGAGCTACATTACTTCGAGTTCGAATTATTCACTTGACTACTAAGCCTACGGGCTACTCTTATTTAGAGTTCGAGCAAGCACTCACTCGACCATTACGCCTATGGGCTACATTACTTCGAGTTCGAATCATTCACTCGACTACTAAGCCTACATACTACTCTTATTTCGAGTTCGAGAAAGCACTCACTCGACCATTATGCCTACGGGCTACATTACTTCGAGTTCGAATCATTCACTCGACTACTAATCCTACGGGATACTCTTATTTCGAGTTCGAGCAAGCACTCGCTCAACCATTACGCCTACGAGCTACATTACTTCGAGTTCGAATCATTCACTCGACTACTAAACCTACGGGTTACTCCTATTTCAAGTTCGAGCAAGCACTCACTCGACCATCACGCCTACGGGCTACATTACTTCGAGTAAGTTACTCATTATTTCGAGTTCAAACGAACACTCGACTATTTAAAGCTGAAGACTATTCAAGCAAAGGGGACTACCCATAGAGCCCGTAGGCAACAATGATTAAAATTAAAACTATCTATTTAGCTTAAAAGACCGTTTTGCTTCAAAAGGAAGAAAGATTTATATTTATAAATTTTTGTACAAAGGCAACTCAGCCAAAGGGAAGTTCTTTATACAAAGACAGAAAGCGGTATCAAAAGAACGCAACAAACTACCTAAGGCCTTAAATGGCTCAATCTTCATCGGAGGCCGTGTTCTCGGCATCTTCCTCATCTTCAGACTTACCCGAGTCATCGGAGTCCTCCTCAGGAAAGGCCAACCTTCGAGCTTTGTTCTCTTCCGCCTTGACGACTTTAATCTCGGCCCCAATATCGAAGCCCTGAGCTCTGACCTCTCGAGAGCTTCTCTCCGAGCTTTCCATTTTGCATGTTCGACCATGCTCTTAGCTTTGGCTTGGTTAACCTCAACATCGATCCTGAACTGAGCCACTTTGGCATCGGCTCTTTTATTGGCCTCGATCACCTCAGATTTGGCCACTTCAAGTTCATTAGCCAAATCTGCTTTATTTGAAGTGGCCAAATCCAACTGATGCCGAAGCTCTTTCATCTTCTCGATCAGCCCCGAAGCATTTTCTTTCGCATATCGAAGTTGGGCATCAGACAACTCCAACTGAGCTTGGATGACTTCCTTTTTCGAGGCAAGGATATCCATACTCTTTTTAAATTCTTCTGCCTCGGCCAGTAGCGCATCTACCTCTAAGTTAAGCCATCCAATCTGCTCGATCCTCTGCCGAACCTGCAGAATCGGATCGTTAGTGGTTATCTCTTTTTCATCTTCATCGTCATGGAACATTCGGAATACATGCTCAGCCATCTCCTCGTGCTCTTCCCGAGCTGCTGTCAAATATGCTCTAAGTTTTTCACTATGGAGCTTGTACGAGTCACTCTTCTCAGTGAGGCTCCGAACCTCGGCATCATGCTCCTCCCGGATTCGAAGAAAGGCCTCGTGATGCAACACTGAAGCCTACAAACAGAAGGAGAAACATTAGAATTACCTACAATTCTAAGTGTAAAAGAAGCGGCAAAAACGCCACCAGAGTTACCCGATTCAAAGCATGTTGGGCCTCGTTGAAGAGACAGGCGGGCCCAACCACATTCATCACTGATTGATCTTCTTCGGTCACCAAGGATCGAAGGTAACTGGTAATCCCCACAAGGGGAGAAAAAATTCGGGTATCCTTAGGTACGGATAGCACTATCTTCCGCCTAAGGTCGGGATCAACACTCGGGGCTGGGAATCGGTCCACTAGTTTGTGAACCGATGAAGGCTCGGTACAACCCGACCACGATGCTTTTTTGGGTACCGACATTCTACTAAAATTGGTAACCCCCTCCGAGGCACCTGACTCAAGCCCATCCAGAAAACCGTGGATATCGGCCGACTCCTGAATGCCCTCATAGCACCGATCCTCCAACATGCTGGCCTCTCGAATCATGGCATCCGAAATCTGAGGGGATCCGCTAATATCAACTATCCCAAACTCATCCCTTGAAATATCTTCTACTGCCTGAGAAGACCCACCCTCTGTATCCCCTTCAATCATCTTAGCTCGAGAAGGGATAATCTCGACTTCTTCTTGTTCTCGGATTATGGTCAAGGTTCCCTCATTTGCTTCCGGCAAATTGGAAGACTGCTGAATCACAACATTAGCCCGTACACAGGCTAAATTCTCCTCTCCTTCTTTGGGCTCGTCCTTTAAATGGCAGACCACTTCCGAAGGCATAACACCAGAGCCCCCTTCAGCTTTCGAGATCTCTTAGCTGATTTCTTCTTTTCTGAGCTCGGGGAGCTCGGTACGTCTTTTCTCTTCCTTTCTTTTACCTGCTTCAGGGCAGGAACTTCTTCACTACCAGATGAGGGCCTCATGACTACATCTTTCCCGAGTCCTACAAAGGGGAAAATGGGAGATTTACCAGATAAACCGATACAGAGACAAATCGATAAAAAGATTTACCATGACTACGGGCCTCCCATCGACCCTTTGATAGTTCGACCCAAGCACGCTCGGAGTACGGTCTCTGCAAGACTGCAACACCAGACCTTCGACCCATTGTTTAAGATTCGGGATCGGTTCCGGCATCCGAGCTACGGCTGTGATAAGAAAAAAAAAGGATCAGCACAATGGAAGGCAATCACAAAATCAAAACGGGCAAAAAGAAACGTTTACTCACGGCTCATATTCCATTTCTCGGGAAATGGCAAGTCATCGGTAGGGATCAGGTCCGAGGTTTTGATATGAACAAAACGGCCCATCCAACCCCAATCCCGAGTCTCGTCTATGCTCGAGAATGGCGCTTTGGTTGCTCGGCGAGCAAGCTTGATCAACCCACCTCGATAATGTCGGGGACTATAAAGGCGCATGAGATGATCGAGGGTGAAGATACGCCCCTCGACCTTGCTCGAGAAAAATCGAAGAAGAATCACTATCCTCCAAAAGGAAGGGTGGATCTGGCCAAGGGTCACATCGTACCTCTTACAGAAGGTAACGATGAGGGGGTCTAGAGGGCCCAACGTGAAAGGATAAGTGTAAACACTTAAGAACCCTTCGACGTGGGTAGTAATTGATTCATCAGGCGATGGAATTACTACGAGTTTATTATCCCAGTTGCATTCTTGTATGACTTTCTCGAGAACTTTCTCAGTAATTGAACATTGGTACCTCAACATCGGCTCATACCGACCCGGTATCGGAGAAGGCTTTTCAATTTTAAAATTGCCTAGAGTCGAGCGCCCTACCGGAACGAATTCCTCAGGGCGGGGCTCCTCCACATCTTCGCCACCGGCAGGTCGAGATGAAGAAGCGATCTCTTTTTGCGGAATAGTTTAAGACGTTTTTGCCATCTAAAATTCACAGATTTGCAAACGAAAAACTCAGAAAAGATGAAAAGGAGCTTAGAAAATTTGGAAGATTGAAGGCGTAAAAGTGATAAATGGTGGAAGGAAGGCTATTTATAGATTGAAGCAATGACAGTTCAATATCAGCGGTGGCCGACCACCGTCTGACACACATTAAATTCCTTGGTAAACTGAACCGATGGGACAGCTATCACGTACATCATGGTCGGGATCGATGCAAACGTCAACGTATATCTGATCGAGCTATTGGAAAATCATATCGTTTCTCGCCACATCCTTTCCCGAGAAACGAGGGGACTATCTGTATACGGTCGAAATAGATTTCGGCTTTCGTACAATTGATCGAGGTCAAAACATAATGGATCAGAGAAAGACTTCGTAATATCGAAATGGGTTCCGAATGTGGTACAAACAAAGCCTTAGATTTCGGGTATAGATCTAACGCCGAGTTCAAACTCATTATCGAGCTCGGGTTCGAATCGAACTATGATGAGATGATTTCGAGCTTAAGGGGCAGAGTCCACCCGAGATCGAGTCCGAATCATCACTTGATTCCGAGTCCACATCGAGCTCTAGAAGCAATACCGACCGGCATCGAGGCCGATCGAGGCCGATCAAGCTCAAGCTCACAGACAAGAGCCGTTGCAACCGCACTAAGGGAGAGAATCTTGGCAGGAATTGAGGAAAAGATAATTTATCATGGATTTTTCACTATATAGTTTTTATTATAGATAAAGTAGGATCTCTGTATAGGGGATCCTTGTAAGCATAAGGGACATTCACATATTATAACAAAGACAACTTTAGAGAGATTAATATCTTTGAGCTCATTTACTTTACCTTGTTCATCAATACTTCTTTTTCTCTGCCTTATATTTTATTCATTCGTCAAGAATATATATATTTCTATTTTACTCTACAGTTTATACAAAATGATATCACGTATCCTTAGAACCATATATAAATTTAGAACCTGTTTGGTCATAGATTTTGACAAAATAAACTTGAATTTTATTTGGCAAACATATATTTGGCCATAGATTTTACCTATATTTTGGCAAAATAATAGCTGGTTTTGGGCCAAATCCCTAATAATACACATGTTTTTCCAAAATAAATTTGAAAAATATGTTTTGAAAATATATGTTCAAACACATTTTCATCTTGAAGTCAAACTTCACCCAAAACTGATTTTTCAAAACAAATTTGAAAATTTATGACCAAACGCTAGCTTAACTCTATCCGATTTTCCCGATAAACAAATATTTTCGCGACTTTTCTAAAGGAAGCCATGAAATTGTGAAATATGTATTTCCTCAAAGAAGACATTTTTTTTTTCTTTTTCATTTCTGGCCAATTGGCTCAAGTAGAAGGAGCGGAAATGAGATTGAAAAAAATGAACAAGACGCAGGATGTACACTAGCTAATAAATCTCCATCCAAAGGCACTTGACAAAATACAGTGTGAAGGCGGAGAAATGTGGGCCCTAATTATCTGACGTCACCAGCATTGATCCGTTTCCCATCTCCGGGTCGGATAAAACTCCGACCTATTGATGCGAAATCCATCGGAAGAGTGCCCAAAATCTCGCCGGCGAGAGACTACGCTTAACTTGAGGTCGTACAGCGCCCTGGCAGAAGGATCAGAGAGCGTGGCATAAGCATCGTGAATTTCAATGAAATTCCGGTCGTTGGAGGATTCCTCCGGCAGAGAAGCAGCATCGGGATGGTACAGTTTAGCCAAATTCCGGTAAGCAACCTTAATCTCTTTCGCTGAAGCGTCTCTTTTAACCCTTAACACCTCATAGAGACTCGCCGGTCTTGTCCTCTCCAACGCCGGCGGAGCCTCGGCAACGACGGCAGCACATATCGACAATCTCTTAGTACTCTTCACGGTGTACGAAACACGGACGTGATCTCCAAACGCGGCGGAGGAAGAGGAGTTATGAACGGAAAAGGGGAAGGAAGTTGGGGAAATTAGGGTTAGGGATTGGACCATTGGAGAATTATGATTTTCTCAATTTGTAACGAAAATGCGGAAAGCGGAGTGAGATATAGAAAGTTTTTTGTGGGTATAATTTAAAGAAAAGCTGAAAAAAGAGCTTTTTATTTTATATAAAAAAAATGAAAAAGTCTAAGGAGGGAATCTTTAAACCCGAGGGGCGAGGGCGGCGTGCGTACCCACCGTTTTTTTAAGATTACAGTTGCAAAATGGAAGACTGTGTGCTGACGAGGCATTTTTTCGTAGTTTTCTTATGTCTTCTAGAAGATTGGGAATAGTAGATTTAAAACTACTACTACATCAGTCATCAGATGAAAAACACTTTATATTTTAAGTGTTAAAATTAATTTAATAAATAAGTAGTTATATGTTTGTATATAAATGCTGAGATTGATAATAAGTTGTTGTAGTATTTGATATAAAAAGTGCTGATAAATTTTTTTCTGTTAAAATAACTTAAATAATCTTAGAACTATTTATAAGTTTTACACTTATAAGGGAGTAATTTCTTCAAAATTTTAGGTTCCAGATCGATTCAAATACAAAATATTCTATTTGTCATTTTATTTTAAATACAACAATGCTTAGATAAGATAATTTTTATGATAAATATAATTTATTTTATGATAACCATATAATCATAAGTTATAATAATTAATAAATTGACAAAAGTTTCTCACTAAAAAATAAATCTAAATAGGATAAAATATTTGAAGAGAAACAACCACCGTTTTCATCACCACAACACTTAGAAAGCAATACACCAAAGTTTTTATATGTCCTAATTTATTATATACAATTCAAAGATTAATACACAATCACATAGATACAAATATGCAAAAGGAATAGAGAATTTGCTTATTTTAAATAGTCAATAAAAATTGCACACTTGAAGAGGCGGGGAGAGGGGGGTAGGTTGTAAAAATACTTGAGGCAGTGAGTATCGATGTAATAGTTTTGTTATAATAAAGGAATATTTTAAGGATAAAATAGTAAAAATCTTGGTCAAACGTAAAGTGCTTATAAGCTAAAAATTCATAAGTTGGGGGTGACCAGACTAGATCAACTTATGACTTTTGGCTTATTTTTGACTTATAAATACTTTTAACTTTAACAAACGCGTTGATAAGCCAAAAAATGCTTATAAACTAGTTTGACCAGCTTATAAGCTTAGCCAAACACCCTCCTAATCTTGTTATTTTATACTACCCGTTCCAATTAATGTGAAGGTATTTGACAAAATTTATGAAATAAAGGAAGATTTGATTTTTGAAACTTGTGTAATAGAAATTTATGTGATTATAAATTATTTCATTAAAGGTAGATAAAAAATTTAAAATTAAATTGTTACTAAATATAAAAAGTATTATTCTTTTTTTAACCTATTAAAAAAGAAGTGGCAAATTAAAACGGAGGAAGTATTATATACGCCGTAGTACTCCCAAACTACTATCTATTCGCTTGACAACAATTTTTTTTATATCTAGGACCTTACTTTAAAGGTAAGTCTTTTTAGAGTGGTAAACGGAAGTGAGCTAAGATTGGATCGGTACAAGTCTGATAGGTAGTATTTTGTCCCTTTAATTGATCAATTGAGTGCAACTTCAAAGTTATTTCAGATTCCAAATGTCTAAATTAAAAAATAGTTAGGATTAACGGGTCAAAGTATACCAACTGAAATTGTATAATCAAATGTGATCAGCTCAAACCATTTCTTAAACAATATCTTATTGTAACTGGGTTACAATTTTCTCTCAATCGATTGAAACTTTGTTTTTATTTTTTATTAGGATACACAGCAAGCTATTTGTCTTTTAAGTTTTAACTATACTTGCAAATAACTAGTTGACTGGTCATTACAAATTTTGACCATGTTAAGCTAAAATTTGACCGAACAATTTGGAATTAGCCTGTTTTGAACTATCTTAGCTATATCTCTCATTCAATCGTCAAACTTTGACATGATTCATAACTAAAGGGGTGGGAAGTGAGTCTGTTCAAGGGTGGAGGGCTAGAAAAAGAACAGCCACACTTCTGTCTCCCATTTTCAAGAATAATGTAGTGTAAAATCTCTCTATAACAGTCTTGTTTGTTCCGAACATATGTTATAACATAACATGAAAATTAGTTTCGGAAAAATTTGACTTTTATAGTGAAATGTTGTTATATAGAGATGGTGAGAGGTCTGACTGTTGTATTGAAATGCATACTCCACGGACCATAGTCCCCCTCAATCCGGTCTATGTGAATTTTTTTATCCAAAAGTTTTTGTAGCTGCACAAATTTCAAGGTTTTATAACTCTATAAATATTATAGAGTAACATATTTACTACAAGTTTCAAAAGTTTTTTTCTCTTAAAATTCGTATTCACATAAAATAAAACAAATAGAATATTGTTGGAAAACTCATTTAAAATTGTAGTAGAAAACCTTAATTGGTTAGGATTTGATTTATTTAATTCATGTGTCAATAGAATTTGTAGTCAGAATAAATATAAGAATGAGCTTTTTCTATTTCTAATTAAAATAGGTTTCGTACTATTATAAATATGAGTATTACTAGCTTATTTTAATATGTGGAGGAAATAAAAAAGTGTAGAGAGCTTTCAGAGAATTTATAATAAAATATTTTCCTTCAAATATTAATTAATAAATATATAATCATAATTAATTAAGTAATAATTAGAAGTTTATATGTAAATATAAATTATGAATGTGATAATTTAGCGTAAAAATTAAATGGGGATAGATCATAGATTTATCCTCCATTTTTGTTGGTCTGGCCTGCGGTCTATACTCTTTAAAAACAGAGGGAATGGTTCAAAACTGTTTGTAAGTAGAAAACTGTGGTCACAAATCACAAGCTCCCCGTAAAGGTGGTCATTTCTCACGTGGCTATGCTTCTAGAAGCCCTTCTCTTCCACTCCACACTAATTTGGAGAAAAGTCACTGTCGTTCTTCATTGATTGTTGACGTCCCCTTCGATTTTTATGCAAACAAAAGTCTCCGTTGGGTTTGATTTTTGAACGTTGGACCCTAATTTTATATTTAGCTTTGTAGGATAAGGCTTCTAGAAACTTTTCCCTTTAAACCATTTCTATATGAAAAACAAGAATTAATATATAAGAGTCCAACAAAATATAGCAGTGATGAATTATCTAATATGTCTCTGATAGTCATGCTTTACCACTACCTCAAATCTTCTTTACTTTTCCTTAATTTAGATGAAAGTGATCCATTATTTATATTTGATTGATGACGCCTTACTTGAATAAAGTACCATCATGGGTCGCATTTCTACTCTTAAGAAATACATTTAAACTCTTTGCACGTCTTGAATGGTTCTACTTAGCCGTGGTAAAATGGATTAAAAAATAATTATTTATTTATATTATTCATTAAAAAATATGTTAGATAATTAATTTTTTAAAAATTGATCAAATATGGATAAGATCTATATTATCCACTTAAAAAGTGAATAACCAATGTGTTTAATTTTTTTAGGTTGAAATTGAAAATTTCTAAGTTTGGGAGACTAGTAATTATCCCAATATTCAAGAAGCCATGGATATTATGAATATCCATATTATCCGTCGACTAACTCATTTTTTGTCCGTATCGAATATGGATTGGGTCAGATAATTTATTAATTTTTTTTGCATTACCCATTTTCAACTTGTCTATATACGACTAGACTCGCCCATTTGGCACACCTAGTTGGACTTGTCATGTTTGCTCATATTACTCTCTTATATCTTCCCTTTACGAACTAAATTACTAGTAAATATGTGACATTTCATGAATCGCCTTAGTTATTATTAAAAAAATCTGGGCAGTGGATTCAATTTAACCTAATCATTTTTATACAAAATACAATGTATGTAAAAAGTAATTAAAAACCTATTGATTTCGACAAATATTATTTTTGAAAACAAACTTAAAAGCAAAATAAGTTGAATGCTAATTATCTTAAATGTTAAATCCATGAAGTTTAAAATTTAAATTTGTCTGTGATAGTCACAATTATACTCTAAGAAATACATAGAAATTGTTTGTTGGTCTTTGATTGTTGGATTTGTCATGTCGTACTGAAATTAGTCTCTTATTTCTTCCCTTTTGAAATTAAATTAAGTAAATATATAACATTTCATGACTCAACTCAATTTTTTTAAAAATCTTATCACTTTGAGATGCCTATGAGATGAAATTGTTAAATATGTATTTACTGATATCCTTAAAGGAAACTTAAAAAATTTCCAATTGGCTCATCGGAATTCGGAAGGGAGCAGAAAAGGAAACAAAAAACGGATACTCCTATAAATACTAAATGCCATTTGATAGATTACAGTGTTCACGCGGCAAAATGTGGGTCCCTAATCATCTGACATCACCAACACTGATCTGTTTCCCATCTTCGGGTCGGGTAAAACTCAGACACATTGATCCGAACTCCATCGTCGGAGCTCCCAAAACCTCGACGAGGGAAGACCGCGCTTAATTTCACGTCGTATAGAGCCCGAGACACAGGGTCGGATAGCGTCACATAAGCGTCGTGTATCTCAATGAAATGCCGGTCGTCGGAAGATTCCTCCGGCCGAGAAGCAGCGTCGGGATGGTATAGCTTAGCCAAATTCCGGTAAGCTGCCTTAATCTCTTTCGCTGATGCATTTTCTTTTACTCTTAGCACCTCGTAAAGACTCGCTGGTGTTCTCCTCTTCAATACCGGTGGAGCCTCCGCAACGGCGGCAGCATATATCGATGCTCTGCGTGTATTCCTTCGGAGAAATGAGACACGGCGGTCGGAGAAGCCGGCGGCGGAAGTAGAAGTATTCTGAAGAGCAAAAGAGAAGGAGATTCCGGCAGGTAGGGCTAGGGATTGAACCATCGGAGAATTATTGATACAATTCTTCAAACAAATATGTGGAAAACGGAGCAAGATATAGAAAGTTGTGTATAATTTAAAGAGAAGGTGAGGGAGAGGTTTTTATATGTAAAATGGAAGTTTGGGAGGGGAATCTTGAGTACCCACCGTTTCTATCGGTTTACAGTTGGAGCAAAGAAGACTGTGTGCTGACGAGGCATCTTTTCCTTCTCAATAATTGGATTTTATTACTTTTCTGCTGTTGTTTATTTCTCATTGTTGGTAGTATTTGTATTGGGTCCTATTAAAGTATTAATCCGAATTTATAAAGTACTTTTTACCGAATACTACTTTATATTGGGAGCTTCAATATGAAACTTTCAATTGAATTTGAGTATCTACCACTTCATCTAACTTTTCGTCATTTATTTTGTACTACTAGTAATTCCTTGGTTAGCGTAGTACCTTTTTATAACTTTGAACAACAGTAGAACTTCTATCATGTGATAGCTATTGTACATAGTGTTATAATGAAGATTTTGGCCTCCAAATGCTTGGCGTACAAGGCCTAATACTGGTAGTTTGTATTATACTCCTATGAGATTACTAACTGTTTTAGTGATGATTTATTATATCTGTTTACCATCAAAATCGGATAACAATTAAATTTATAAGTGGTTTTAAGGATACGCGGATTAATTTGATGCAAAACAATAAATTAAATAGAATTGAAGAAACAAAGGTAAATTAAATTCAAACCACACGAGAAAGATAGTTCCAGCCTTAGTGAAGTATTTACACTCGATCTGGGCTCGCTGTGGCCAACACTAGTGAACTAAGAGAGAGAGAGAGTGAGTGAGAGCTGATGACAGAGAAAATAATAATGTATTGCTTTGGAATGCGTGTTACAATGTGTTTCATGAATTATCACACCCCTTTATATAGTAAGAGAGTCATACTTTAAGTACAACTCTATAAAAGGTAAAAAAATCTTCTGATTAACTGACTGTCGGTTCCTTATCGATACGTGCCGAGATCCCCACCGTTATATCCGCCCGGTCACGGATATTTCGGCCTCCTGTTGGCTATGCTTAATTGTCCGACAATGTTCTTTGAAGTCGTTCGAGGCTAGGACCGATTCCGGAATCATGACCTCAAAATTCTCGATGAGAGGCGTCGTGCCCCCGGATTCTAGCTCGGTGGAGTCTTTGGCTCGATTTCGGTCCCTTGCCACCATGTCTCGAGCCTGACTTATCTTGTCGGAGGCCGGGATGCACCATGAGCTTGATTTAACCTGTATACAGATAGTCCCCTCGTTTTTTGGAGTGTAAATGACGAGAAACAACATGATCTTCCGATTCTTACTTCGACACATCGCGACAGAAAAGACAAAACATCTGAAACGTCTCGTCAATCAAGTCATAATGGTATTAAATGCATGTCAGCCGCCGGTCGACCGTCCTTGGACGTGAAAACGTCGCTGAACTAATATAAATACCCCCTCTTTTATTCATTTTTACTTTACATCAAACCTACTACCCTCGTACCCTCTGGATTTCAATACTCTTTAACACTTTTACCCCGGTTACTCGAGGTCCTTTGCAAGAATATTTACCCAACTTCTTCTCAAACCAACAAGTCTAATCCTTCAACGTCCTTTCTTTCTTCATCTTTCCCAGATTTTCGTCCATTTTTACTTTCTAAAAGAATGACAAAGACTTCCAAAATCGTTCCCAGAAAAAAGCTCCTTCTACTTCGCAGCCGATTACTAAGGTCGAGGAGACCGCTCCGAGCATGGTCGCTGATGAACCAGTACCCGAACCCCCTTGAAAATGTTCGTCCCCTGGGTATGCTCGGTCAATGACGATTTCAAGGTTGAAAAGCCTTCCTCCGTACATGGTCGGTGTGAGGAGGTCTCGAGATACATCTGCTCGATTACCGAAGAGGTCCTCCCTACGATCCGAAAATACTGCAACTGGACGATAAAGACATAGTAGTCCCCGACCGCGAAGAGGCCATTACCACCTATGTCGAGGGATATCTAAGTGTTTACAGTTATCCTTTTATATTAGACCCGGTCATTTTAGATTTTTGCAAGAGGTACAACGTGTGACTAGGCCAGATTCACCCATCACTCTGGAGGATCGTGATCCTCCTCGGGTTTTTTGTGAACAAAATCGATGGGTGCTCGTTCACTATTGATCATCTACTCCGCATATACAGTCCCCAAATCTTCGGTGGGGAGCGGGAGGGGGAAGGAGGGGCTGATAAAGCTTGTGCGTCGGGCCAGTAAAGCCCCGTTCTCAAGTATCGATGAGGACAGGGATCGAGGCTGACATGACCGTTTTGTCCGAGTGAGGACTTCAGACTTGATTCCGGCTGAATGCAGGCCATTCCCCGAGAAGTGGAATACGTCACGTAAGTAGACCTTTCCTTTGAATGTTGATCTCATGTTTACTTTTCTTTTCCTTATCGGTATTTGTGGTGGTGCAACCATCACTCGGGTCCCAAATGTTGTCCCTTGACTCAAGGAGTGAGTCGGGGGTATCGTTTCAAAGATGCCCTACTCCGAGCGCTCATGGCGCAAACTGTTGAAGGGCCGTTGGGAGGCCCGTTCCCATGGTGAGACTTCTTTCCCGAGTAGGTTGTTTTAGGCTTCTTCTTTTAATATTAAGCCTTTATTTCCTTTACTTGCTTTTTAAGGCTTGCCTAAGGATGCCGAGCTTAGGCCTCCAGTCGATGGCGAGGGCTTACCTATTGAGTCTCCTACTCTGAGACATGCCGGCGAGAGGAAAATGAGAAGGGCTCCGAGTTCCCCGATCTCGGAAAAAAAAAAGAAAATAAGGAGAAGGCTCGTGCGCAAGCCAAAGGAAAGCACCATCTCCCGAGCACCAGCTTCAGACTTGCTCTATCAACTGAGGGATGAGTCCGAGGGAGAAGAGCCTTTCATTTTTGTGGCCCGCGAGCTGTCGGCCCTCGGAGAGCAGGGGGCTGTTGAACCAAAGATCCGTGAGGCCGATCTATCTCAAGCCAGGGAGGTCGGTGAGTAGGCCGGGGTTGAGGCTTCTCGGGATGCGGACAGTGCCCCAAATGAGTCACTTGGCATGATAGACATCACCGAGTCACCATCGTTTACCGAGTCCATCTACAATGAGGCCCAAACGGTGAAAGAACTCCCCAACGAGGGGGCCCACGGAGCAGACGATCCCCTCCGCTGCTTTTGTGATGGCGTGGATTCCACCACCACGGAGGACGTCACCGGGTTAGGTGACTTAGAGGTATCGAGGAAAGGTCCGTCCTCGGGGGCAGGTGGGCCTAACTCGAGCCCGACACTGGTCAATCGGTTCCCTTCCCCGAGCGCGGATCCTGGTCGGAAGCAGTCAATTATCATCACCGTTTTGGAGGATGCCCGTGTTCTTTCTGCTCCCGTGGGGATATCTAGTTACCTCCGGTGCCTGCTTACGGAGGAAGATCAAGCCAAAATGAACGAGGTAGATTCGCCATGCCCGTTCAACGAAGCGCAACAGGCGCTGAACCAGTAATTCTCGATAACCCCTGATAATTCTAATTTTTCTTTTGATATTTGAACTAAGTTTTTGATAACTCTAATATCTTTCCTCGTGTTTGCAGGCCTCGGTGCTCCACCACGAGACCTTCCTCCGGTACCGAGATGAGTTGATCCAACTTGAGGAAGAAACCAAAGAGCTTGTTGAGAAGAGAGACACATACAAACGTCTCAGCGAGCAGCGAGAATGAGAGGCTGAAGGCCTTCGAGCTGAGTTGGACTTGGCTCGGAAAGAACACGCCAACCTAGTTGAACAGGTAAAAATCTTTGAGGTTAGTGACGATGAGCTAGACACGGTGACTAATGGTCAGAACCCGCAGGTCAATCAGAAGATTGATCAGATCGACCAACTCCGGACTGAGATAGATGCAATCAAGGTGGAGGCATAAGAGTGGAAAGGCAAGATGGACCGCTTGGCCTCGGAAACGTATACTACCCGAGCGCAATTGGTCTAGGCGGAGGCTCAACTTTGAGCGATGAGGGAGAAGGCTGAGGCACGGTCCCAGAAAATTGAGGAGCTTCAGTCTCTGCTGAGCTCGGCTATTTCCGATCGAGATACCCTCTCCAAGGAGCTTAAAGCGGCAAAGTCGGTGGTTGAAATAACCAAGTCAGATGCCGATGAGATGGTGTCCCAGTAAAGAGCCGATGACGAGGCAGCCCAGGATCGCGTGAAAGACATAATCGAATATGTGAAGTGGCAGTCCCGAAGGGAGGCCCTCGAGAAGGTTCATGCTCGGGGTTTTGACTTATTGGCCAAGATAGAAAGTGCTAAAGGGCTTGAGGCCGAGGCCAAGAAGTTGGTGTATCCCGAGGACAAAGGAGACTCCGAGGGTTCGGGCGGATCCGGTAATGAGGTGGGCTCCGGTGAAGACTAGGCTGTTTAGGTGCCTTGTAGGGTTTTCTTTGTTTTTGCACCTTTGTACTTTTGTTGAGGCCGTTTTGTAAAGATCTTTTTTTTAATATATAAGGCTATTTTTCCCTTCGATAACTTTTAAGCTTGTTTCCTTTTGCTCTTTTCTTTATGATCGTAAAGATATCGAATGCCTTAGGACGTAATAATTAGGTCTTGTTCAGAGGTTCGAACATGCCTTGTTCTCGATATTATTTTGCTTAAAACTTGTGGGAGGCTTGGTATGACTGGAATCTTTCCCCAAAGTACTTAGAATATTTTAGATTACAATTTGCCGAGGGTAGCCTTTTGAACTGGTTTAGAAATCTTGAAGGCCTTATGTTTTGGTTACGGGCCTCGCACATCTCTGAGCCGTTCTAGGTTGGCCGTAGCCTTTCTAGTTCGGGTGTTGCCTAGTGGGCTATTTACCCCGAGTTGTCCGGGCTTACCCAAGACAATAATCCTCGAATGGGGATGGCTGTAGCCTTTAGAGTTCGGGCACTGCCTAATAAGCTTTGTGCCACAGAGTTTTGTTATCCCGAGCCGTCCGAATCTACCTTAGGCGGCAGTCCCTGAGCGAGGTGGCCCTTGGGCTTGATGTTTTTAGGGGAGAAAATGTAAGAAAGAAAATTTTTAAGGGGCAAAATATTTATCCGCAAGGTAGAAACTTCCTTTCATTTCTGTGCGTAATATACAAGGTTACACATGTGTACCGGCTTTGTGCCAAGGCTCGGGCGATCTATGTTGGGCACAGTTCATTTGACCATTTGGC